AACCCAGTCTAGTGGAAGGTGGCCCGGCTCATGGCGGGGGGTGGAACTAGATGATCTTTAAGGTCCCTTCCAACCCAAACCATTCTACTATTCTATGATATTGCACTGAAAAAATCGAAACTGTCCTGCTCTGTGTTTCAAGTCCTATTCCAGAATCTAAAAAATCTATCCTGGGTTTCAAGAGGGGTCTTGAATAATGCTTTGGTGATACAACAGTCCAGGCTGAAATGCACACTTCATTGTTAGCAAAGGATCCATCAGTTTTAAATGACCTTTATTTGCTCAAGAAGCCTTCATCTATACTTTTATCTGTTAATATGCCATTTTAATAGGGAAAAGGTAATTTTGGTTTATGATAAGGTAACATGAAGTTTATGATAATTTATGACATGAAGTTCTGTGGTAGAGTTGTCTATTCAGCACAGGAATGGTAGCATTCTGTATAAAACACACCAATCTTTTTCAATTCCAGTATGTTATATTTCCAAGTCAAATATCACTGCTTTTCTAAGTGGATTTGGAAGCTTCCCAGATGATACATCTACCCTTTCTTTTTATATCACACCTCAAAGAATGAAGCTGACCAGGGAAATAATAGGAATTAACATACTTTTCTAAAATGCATGTGCTACCTACTCTCTCTCTCTGAATAACATCTGGATTTTCTTCAGAGTGCCTGGCTGTATAGCTTGAAAATACATGCCAAAACATCTGCAAGTCAGCTGCATATTGCAAAGCATCTGCAGCTTAGAGCTCATGGGAATCCCTTGAATCATGGTAGAGGAAGCCCCAGGGAGAGGGGAGGAAGGCGAAAAAAGTGTAGGCAAAACCCCAAAATCTTTGTGCTGCACTGTTTGCATGAAAGAGAAGTGAAACCAAAATGAGAGTTAAGAATGAAGAATTATTGCCTCGTTCAATCATCATTGCAGAACTGCAGTCACTTATATACAGAAGAAATACAACTCTGTTCATATCACTACAGATCTTTAAAATGCTATAATTCAGCATTCATACATCTTTATCATAACTGCATACAAAATTAAGACTGAGAAATGTTTCATCTACATTTTTTCTTTCTGTTGTCAAGTTTATATGAGCTATCACCTTGTCATAAACTGTCATGGTTTTAGTTCAAAGTCAAATACACCTTTAGGTGTATTTACTTGTTTGTTTTATTGTACTTATTTATTATTTATTTTACCTTGCCTGCTAAAGTTACTGACTGCCTTTATCAAACTGTTCCAAGAGAATTGATTGGAGACTTTGATTTTGAACAATCACATTGAGCAGGGATTGAACCGATTTGAATTTATAAATTCATTATGAAGAAAAAAAAAATAGGCAGAAACACTGGTATCTAAACTCTCTTAGTAGAGCAACAAACACTGTATACCTTTACATGAAAGCCTAAAAAAGATACTCTAACAGGGCAAACCACTAGCTTAATATTCTTCATTCAATAGTGGCAACGGGCAATATTGTGTAAGGAATGAGCCATTATCTGTTGTTCATTCATATCATATGCCCTCAGCATCTGCAATCATTGGATCAGGGATGATCATTATATTTATCTATACACTTACCTATTCCTGTTTTAGATTATGGCTGTGAAAGGATACATACTTGCTTATTCCTCTCATCATCTGTTTATGTACCTTTAGTCCTTGAATTTCTCTTTAACTTTCTCTACAGAGAAAATATCTGACCACAAAATAAATTACTAGAGCCAGCCTTAGAGTTAGAAACCACATGCCCTAGCCAAGAGAAAATGCAGACTAGAAGACATTTATGGTAGAAATACTGTTCACTGCTCCTGCTGAAGCCACGCTACAGCATAACAAGGAATGAGGATAAAAGGAGAGTACAAAACCACGACAGGAGAAATTCCGTGGCTGCATTCCTGCCCCGGAGATTTTTCATGTACTTAGATTAGGATTAGGAGCCCCCTTGCAGTTATGGGCCTTAGTTTCTATAAATGGCAACCAAGTCCACTCAGAAAGCAAATGCAATCTCTCACTGAAGTATCTGATAAAAAAAGACGCTTCAGGGAAAAAAAACAAAACCAAATCCAAAACCAAAACCAAATCCAAAACCAACAAAACCCTCCTAACTCTTATCTTTCTCATAAAGCCCCCTTAAATTTTAAGGAGAAGCTAAGAAATAGTTGCAAGCCAAGATATATCTTCTAACTGCCACTGTTTGCTTTCTTGAGCTGAATTTCTATTTTGAAAAGTGACAGGGAAAACCAAAATGGCCCTATTTTCAGTGTCTGTCCATTTGTGGTTTATGAACTGTTAGTTAGTTTCAACAGCATTGTCCAGTTAAAATCATCAGGATTACATGAGTGTCACTGAAGATACATTTGAAAACAAGGAGGCTGGGCAGCAGTTCTGCAGCTGGCACGACCAGAGATGTATTACTGGCCGCTTAAGTAAGTATACAGCTTCACTGGGGTTGAAGACATATGTTCATTAGACATATACAGAACTAATTTGCATTAAAAAAAATCAGTTGAAGTCCAGAAGAGTTAGGCAATGGGTTACAAGCTGGTTTCATTTCAGATGCTCTCTCTAGTCATACTTTTCTTATAGTGTTTTTCACTCCTCAGAGGAACTGCACTTCAAACAGTGGGCTGCCTTTCTCCTGCCTTTCCTGCACATCAGGCTGCTATACTACTTCCTAAAGATAATGTCCTTTCCTCAGACCTGGAAAGAGCCTTCTCATTAAAGAAATTATGCCAGGTTCAGCACAGAGCTTTCAGTAAAGAACTAAACAAAAAGTCGACAGTGGTTTGTGTGTTACACTTTCAGAAGGGTACATTTTGTTCTTCTTAGTTTCAGTCCAAAATAACATCAGTCTAGAGCTTACTGGAATTCATGCTGGCTTACACCACTGGAAGTGAAAGTGAACTGGTGTCAAAAGACAAATACATTTTGTTGGTGAAGAGAGAGAGATGTGCAGCTTGAATTAAAAAAACTCATACCTTCTGGTAAGTCGTAGCATCAGCCTTTAGTAGCACTACCCACTTAAAAAAGCATGGCACTTGTGCCAGTAATATCCAGTTATTTTTTTTCTATATTCTATTTCATCAGTATAACAAAGTTGAATCACTGAATTTGATCTTAATCTGCCTGGGAAAGATCTATCTTCTCATTTTATAAGCTTTCAATCAAGATTTTACAAATATTTTTATTTTCTTAAAAATATTGAAAAGTTAGCGTGGTATCTAATTGATTTTTGTTTTGGTTTTAGCTGACTCAGATGAAAATATATTTTTTTTCTCTAACAAAAACTCATACTGATAAACAGAGACATATCATGTAAATTCTACAAGTATTTACTCTTCTTTCATATTGAGCATATAGATGTAAGAGAAGAACAATTTCCTTATACTGACATTTGTAATATGGAAGGTTTGCATTACCGTGATGTGGAATGCAACATTACCCCCCCCCCCCCCCCCCCAGGAATAAGAAAAGAAACATATAACAAAAATTTCTCACTGGCAAGAACAGCTGAAGTGCAATAAAGACCAGTCAGCCACAAAATAACTGCACTAAATCTGCACCTGGGGTTGGTTTTCTTTTCTTTTTTTGTTTGTTTTTTTAATTTAAAGAGGCAGATATAAGTCAAACTGAGAGTAGAGAGATCCTAAATACACACTGCAGTATGAAATTGTCTCTTCTGGGACAGGTGAATAAGATATAAAATCATGTATACTTTTGAAAAAGCACTTTCTGCTCATCATAGCAACGCAACGCCTTTTTGAAACCAATGACTACAGCATATATAAGTCCTTTATCCTACTGATTTGAATCTTTTGTAGTTTTAAATAGACTTCCAATAGCTAAGCATTAAACTAGGGGCATAAAAGCCTTGTGAATGCAGAAGTTCCACTGCTGTGAATCCCTCTGCTGTTTGAGAGAAACAGATTCAAAAAGCAGTAACAACTCTGAAAGGGGAAAAAGGTGACATCTGTACCTGGACAGTCACTTACCAGAAAAGAACTAAGATCTTTACAAGCATGCTTCTGATAAAAGTTAAAAAAAATAAGAGGCAGAGTGGGCACAGGCTGTTTTAATGTTATCCAGCTTTAAACCTGATCTTCTTTATCAAGAAACACTATCTGTTTGAAGATAACTTCAAGGTTAGCACTGTTTCAAGCAGAGATATGGACTAGATGATCTCTCAAGGTCATAGATTCATTGAACCACAGAGTATCTCAAGATGGAAAAGACACATAAGGATCATTGAGTCCAACTCCCTGCTCCTCACAGGACTACCTAAAACTAAACCATATTACTAAAAAAGCATTGTTCAGACACTGCTTGAACTCTGACAGGCTTCATGCCATGACCACTTCCCTGAGAAGCCTGTGACCAAACACCCTCTTCAGTGAAAATCCTTTTCCTAATGTCCAAGGGACACTCCGTTCTAACCTCAGAAGAAGTATGAGCCCACAAAAACCCCAGTGCTATGAATACATCGATAAGGTCCACCATGCAAAGGCAGAATGTCTAGGACAACAAAGGAACTAGACAGAAGGGCATCTGCTACTTAGGGATGACTTTCTTGTATCTACACTCTCAAGGAAACTCTGAATGTGAAGGTGACTGGGACAGCAGAAATCAACGTATATCTAACACTAGGTGTTTCTTCAAACCTAAGTATCAACAAAATAGTTGTTTGGAAAACCCTCATATTTTCTTTACCCCAGTTGGAGAAAATCTGCATCCACACACCTTCTCCAATTCTTCTATGTGTACACAATTCCAAAGGAATAGACTATTTGAATTAAAAAGGACCATAAATATTTTACTCAGAAGCTTGTGACATCATTTTATTGTATTTTGTAGCATTCTTTCCATGACATGCCTAATACAATATTTGTAACATCTATTGAAAGGCTTGTATGAGGGCATTCACTGCACTTAGAGCCAAATTTGATAACCAATAAGCAAACAGGTAGCTACAGTTCCTATTGTCTTTTAATTTTTTTGTTTTGAAGTGAACATTTTATGTCCAAAATAGCAGCCCAGGATCAGAACAATCTTACTGTCCATAACATTATTGTGTTCTAGGTAAATATGAACATATAGTGAAAATCTCACAGTTAAGTGGAAGTCCACAAGCAGTTTATGGAACATTCATATGTGTCTAACTACTGCACATTTTGGTAGCAACTCTTGTCATAGCTAAATACCGATACATTTGTGCTTACAGATGCTTTATTTCCTTAGTTTATTTGAAAAGCATATAGCCCATAAAACAAAAACTGGTATTTGCGGGATTTTTCTAAAGTATATGTCAAAATGAGGTTTGTGAAGGTCTGGGGTCTGTTTTGCTTTTTCATTTTTTGTGTAGGTCATATACAAGTGTTAGTCCTAGAACTGAAATAATTTCTCTAATTATTCTCAGACATCTTAAATGACAGCCATTTTAGTGTGAGTTTTTCCCAGCAGGTATCCAAAAATCTCCTTGAATGATAGTCCCAATAATGCTAGATTACCAAATTACACATCCTGAGCCATTTTAACATCCTACAGAGAAAATTGTCTCCACTCCCCATCCCCCAAAAAAAACCCAAAGCAAACACCAGCTGCAGATTAAATTTGACCTCAAGTAAGTTTTTCTTTTGTTTGTCCCCTATTCAGGTATTTATTTTCTGTTTCTGACTGCATCAGGACTAACTGAAATAAAACACTGCATTATATTTGAAAAAAACCAACAAACTACACATACAATCTTAGATACCAAGAACTTTACATATAATTTCTGTCCTGAAACTCAAAATATCTATCGTCATTGTGCCTCATCTTAAAAACATTACACTTGTTCTTCTGAGACAAAATACATGAGGGCTGAGATAGGAGTACAGAATAGCATAAAAGATTTGTGGACTAGTCTGGTAAGTATACTTCAGAACTGACACTCCATGGCGAGGGTCAGTGCAAGGTAGTTTTGTAAATGAGTGTCCTTTGCAAATGAGAAAAAAAAATCCAGTTTGTAACTCTTGAGGAATATGAGAAGATACTTAAAACATAGTAAAAAGTAAACATTTACTGGATTAAAGTATATTACTAGAACCAACAGGACATACTTTTAAACATGTATAAAGTATTATACAGAAAGATGCATAGATGTACAGTAAATATGTTCATTTATATGTAGACAGAGTAGTATGTACACATAGAGTCTGCTGTGCTTCTGTAAGTCTAAGCAGTGAATCCTGTGGCATGTTGTCTTAAAGCAGTTTTATTATACAACTGTTTTGATGTAGCAGGTGCTAAGAACAATGTACATTAACACTAAGTAGGTAAGTCATATTCATTTACTCTTAAAATGTACAAATATAGGAAACAAAGGCCATAAATGCAACAGTACCTACACCTCCAAGACTTCCTTTTTTTATTTATTTAAATATGCACAAGTCCGCCTAATGGTGCTATGTAGATTTCTTTCCTGGTCAACATGTTGACCAAGCACTCAGAACGTTATCTCTGATGCACTTCAGGACCACTTCCACTGATTCAACTCAGTGTGCTCCTGACCTTGAAGTCTTCAGGTCAAAAATGAAAGGAAAAAATAAAATAAAAAAATATATAAATAAAACAAACAAGCTTGTGGGCTTTATTTTCACAAGTTATTTGCCACCAATACTGTCAAAGCAGCTGAACTGTAGTGCATCCATGGGCAGGAGCATATAGCAGCTTTTGTGCACTTTGCAAAAAAAAATATATTAAAGAAAATTAAGTCTTTACTGGCTTGTTTTATCTGTCGCTAAAAAGATGCTGTGCTGCTTCTGAGCCCTTTCCATCAAGTTCTTTTTCTTCTTTTTTTTGTCCTTTGTTTTTGCTGGCCTTCTCCCTGAAAAAAAGAAAACAAATCATAACAATGAGTTGAGTAAAGAATACAGAAATTAGAAAAAAAACCAACAACAAAGGGACTGCAAAGGTAATGCTGGTTAATGAGCTTCAATGTCAGTGAAAACACAAGTTTTCAGTGTGATAAAAAAGGATCCCTGTCATCACTTGTCCACAGGCACAATTTTGCTGGTATGAGTAACCATGTTGATGCAGGTTTCGTTTTTGGCAAGGCAGGTCGCACAAGCAACGTTATGCAAGTGCCTAAGGCTCAGAGCCAAATGAGTATGCAGACTCCTAACTCACTGGAAACTGGATATATGCCTTAGATCCTTGCGTAAATTTGCTTGAGTGAGTAATCCTATTTAAGTCATGTCCAATATATCTGTGATTTCAATGAGAAATTAGGCATTACAGCCCAAGTATTTGGTTGGATGCCATCCAACATGCTTTGGCAGAAACATTACCACCTCTGTGAAGAACTGTTGTTACTGCTTATTAGTACACTGTGTCTAATTCTCACAGTATATTACTGTGCAGAAACAAAAATTACACTTTATACTTCTTACTATTGGAAATTCACTGAAAAATAACCAAATTCAGTAAATCAGGATCAATTCAGGAAAAAAGTTCTCAAGCTTCTTGAATGGGAAAGCTTTTCCTCTTCAGCTCTAATAATAAATCAGTGCCCTTCGGTTATCTCAGCAAAGATATCATGGACTAAAAAAATGTCAGATACAAAGGTCCTCATTGGGCAATGCATTACCTTTTCAGTATATGCTTAAATCCTATCAAGTCTAGTAGGATTTAAGGAGATGGCCAAATGCCGTCAGGTGTGAGAATGGTCTGGGTTTTCTTGGCAGTATCATATACTAAAATATGTGATCAATGGTAAAAAAATAAGGTTATTAAACTCTAGAAGTGACAACTTTGTAAACTTTCAGGAGCACCAAACGAATTTAATAAGACAGTAAAAGGAAATTCAATTAGCAGGTTACATAAAAATGTGAAAATACATTTTTCATCTACATTGTCAGTACACTGCTAAATGGAACAAACGTTTGCCAATCCAGCTTTGTCTTATTTTCATATTATTTCTTAATTTAAAAGACTCAAACCAGTCACAAGAGTTTTTCTCTATTTCATAATAACACTGAATAAATCTCATTCTAAAATCATCAAAATTTATGATTCATTGAAAATATAGGCTTGTATACTTCAGCTATATATGTATATATACATAATACACTGACTAGGGTACTATTCTATAGGAATTATTGGAATATTTGTATATAAAATAGGACAGGACATTAAGGTAATAAGCACAGGAGTTTAGTCCATATTAAAAATCATAAAGGTCCTTGGAGTTTACTTCTGCTTCTCATTAAAGTCTGGCATTAAGGTTACTATGGCATTTTGCCATTTTTAAATCTAGTTAAGCCTACACAATAAATCCTTAGTCCGACCAAGCATTAATCAAAGCAGCTTTTAAGTTAAAACTCTTTAGTAACACTCTATCTTAATGACGAGGCACATCTAATGAGGTCAGAGGCAAGGAACACTTGACACAAAGTGGCATTACAATAAGACGATTCGAACTATAGAAGTTTTCACAAATATATATATTTATATTTTTTATGGAATTCCACTAGCTGGCACATTGTAAGGCATCAGACCTTGGATGAATGTATAGTTCAACAGCGTCTAACTTGCACTTTCAATATTCTAAATTTTTTAACCCACATATTCAAAATACTTATTAAGGAAGCAGAAGATGAGGGGAAATGGAGACCAATTCTGCTGGTCAGTCAATTCTCACAAGACCGGAAGAATCAATCAGAGCTTTATTGGAGTTTTGCTACCCAGTTTGCTCAGTGATCTTACTTTCTGAGGTTTTCCATTATACAGACCAATTAGTAAAAGAAATATAAACTTAAGTCAGTGTCTCATCTAGTTTCTCTATGACATCCTCTAGAGATTAATTGTTTACTGTAAGTAAGTTTAAGGCAGTGAAAGACCCTATTATTTTTCCTCTAAAATACTTTGAGATACAAGGATAAAATGGCTCACAACACAGGTGGCATCTCTGTCTAAGCCTTAGAAAGTAGATCCTGCAACACAAACATCAAGTCAAATTGCCAGCCCACTCCCCATATGATATCCTTAAAACAGAAATGAACTGGACTAGATTTCAGTGATTTGACATGTCATTGTGCAACAAGCACATTACAATGCTTCTGCTGCTCTGCAGCAATTGTACCTGTACCTACTTTTGTCCCAAGGCACATGAAAGGCAAATTACCTTCTTTAACATGCGCCATGGAGTAGCAACCTAAGGAGAGGCAGCATCACTGAGCCACTGATAGCTGATAATTTGTTCTCCTATGAGGAGCGCTTTGTTCGCTCATTGTATCTCAAAGTGCCCTGTTGTACAGAATAAGTTTCAATATTTTCAGGGCAATATTAAACCACACAGGAGAAAATCCAGATGACTTGGTGATGCTGAGCCCCAAATTCCAAATGTCATTTAAATCAGAAAGCAGAATATAAAAGGTATTTCTTGGCTAACCATCAGTTCCCATACTGTTAGTAGAATGCAACACAGATAAGAGATTAGCAAGAAAAAAGCGACTATAAAGACTAGAGAGTTCAAACAAAGTATGCTGCTGAAGTCCCCAAGAATGAGAATTTTTATTAAATGCACATTTCAATTACAGTAGTTATTTTATCACCAGAAGTACAATGAACAGAAGTATCTTTTAATATCTTACTACATATCTCTTTAGAGGGACACGATGCTTATGATATGTAATGTAGATCCTCTAAGAGGATCCAGGACCCAAACTCTCCCAGTTCCCTGACTGGAGGGTAGTGGGGAGAGGGCAGATGATGGCGGAGACAATCCCCCGGACCAGGTGGCAGCTCGGTGTCATGAGTTAGGTGTTGGACAACCACATCTGAGCTTTGCACAACCTTCCCCACCCCTTGCCATGCACACTGCTCCTTAAAGCAAGAGCCCTGACCCCAAGTCCTTCTCTCCATAGGAAGCAGCAGGGCTCTGCCATGCTTGGCTTTGTTGGGCAGCTGAAAAGGAGTGGATTTTTTTAGCAGCAGCAGCAGATTAGTCCAGAACCTGCTGTTGCACACAGAAGGTAGCTCCTGACTGAAGCAAATGAGGAGGGAGAGTAAAAGGACTGCCTCTTTGGAGGGGTTTTATCACTACCAACAACAGGCTATAATGTTATTGTACAGAACAGAAAGTGACAATACAAGAGAGCTGGAGAGGAATTTTTTACAAGGGTCTATGTTGATGGGGCAAGAGGAAATGACTTTAAACTGAAAGAGTGTCGGTTTAGATTAGATATTAGGAAGAGACGCTTTACTGTGAGGGTGGGAAAACAATGGAACAGGTTGCCCAGAGAAGCTGTGGAGGCCCCATCCCTGGAAGTGTTCCAGGCCAGGTTGGATGGGGCTTTGAGCAACCCAGTCTAGTGGAAGGTGGCCCTGCCCTCAGTGGAGGGGGTGGAACTAGATGCTCTTTAAGGTCCCTTCCAACCCAAACCATTCTATGGTTCTACGAATATCTGAGATATAAAGTCTGATTCAGCCAGCCTATAAACCCCTCCTGATCAGAAGCAGTACCCAAGTGAGCAAAGAGTCCAGTGCAGCCGCCTGGGATCCAAAGCCAGCACCACTCTAAGTGACATTACATCCTTCCTAGTGGAATGATGCTTGCCTGCTTGTCATCTGGCAGAGAGCCATGCACCTTGTTTCTCCTTTCCAAGGGACAAGTCTCCAGATAAGGCCTCATCTTCAATTTTAATTTTATGACTGCAGTTTTTATTTGTTTAACGACTGGTGTTAGGAGCAAGGAGAGTAAATACAAATAATTCATACAAAGGCCAGAATATCTGAGCACTGTTTCGGTTACTATATGCCTATATTTATCTCGCTTAGAAATACTGCATACTCCTTCACGATCTACCTGGTCAATTTGGGATACACACTACCTGGTTCAGAAGGAGCCTTATCACCTTCTGACAGCTGCAAAGGCAGCTTTCTCTGGACAGAGTTTGGGCAGTAGATTCCTAACATCCAGGGCACTCCTGATTCTCCAGAATTAAAATGAAGCAAATGTATTCACAGGGACTCCCAGCCACATTGTTTGAGATCCTTGACTCAGCCAGCCAGTTTCAGTTCAGTATCTGAATTGTGCTTGACTTGTTGTATAAGCACCACCATACGAACAGTGCTTCTAACAAACTCACTGGGAGTTTCAGCAGAGAAAACACAGTATACAGCCACATGGGGGCAGCAAATTTTAAACATTCAGTGAAAAGGGGAAAAAAACCCAAAGCAAAACAACTATCTGCAGTTTTATTTCACAGTGTAATACCCCCCAACATTTTCAGCAGTCTCACATATAAATCACTATATTGGAGCTATCAGAATGTTTAATACTCCCTTCTTTATTTAAAACATTTTTCTCTTCTATTGATGATTACTGATCAATGGGATTTACAGGTGTCTGCCTGCTTCCCTTCTCTGGATTTTCAGATGCAGAGCTTTCACTGGTAGAAGCTAAGTCTTGGGACAACAGCAGACCCTGCTAAATACACTTTTTAATCTTTTCTTCCCTTTCATGCATTGTTTTAGGAGCTAAACACCTGTACATCATGCTCCTATAGCTGTTGCTCTCCCACAGACCTCATGTATGGCAGCATTTCATCCACGTGGGAAGCTAGAAAAATTATTATTAAGTCATATCACTGAAGGATGGTAACATCAGAGAACTAATGACAGCAGTGGAAAGATGATAGAAATACTCAATGATTAACCAGTTAAAGAGATAACTCAAGAGAAAGATGGCAGATTACAGAATTATTAAAGTTAGAAAATAAAATACCTCTAAGATCATCAAGTCCAACCGTCAACCTAGCACCACCACCATGTTTACCACTAAACCATGCCACAGAATCAGAGAATCACAGAATCACTTAGGCT